AAAAACAAGAAAAAAAAACTGGCCTCTGACTGCCGTCAGCGTGGTGGGACGAGCACCACATTGAGGTGGAGGTTGAGATCCAGGCTCTGATTTCCACTCTACTATGAACTAGTTGTTTAGTCTTAGAGAAGTCACTTGCCTGCATTTTTGTCATATGTAAAATGTGGGAGTTTGGCATCGGTATAGTATAGTTACAGGTATCTGAGATGATAAAGTCTTGTGTAACATAAGTAGGATTTTGATAGCACTAGGAGTATGTGCTGTGACTGGATAAAAGAGCGTCACTGAGAGTTTCTGTTGGGAAGAGTAGGGAAGGAGTGCCCATGAGCCCTCCACTGTGAGGGCTGACAACAAGGAGAGAAGAAGGGTATCAAAAGGTCACAGTCTGCATGGATTCAGCAGGGTGGGGACTCTAGGGAAGGAGCCATGGGAGGGATTCAGCTGCACAATAAGGTGAGTAGTCTTTTGAAGCTTATTTTATTTGAAGCATTGTTTAATTTATGTTTCTTTCAAGCATAAACATGATACAATATTAGGGATAGTTTATTGAAATCTACTTTGCCATTCTCCTTTTCCCCATCATCAAAAGCAGTAGTGGTGAAAATACTTATTTTGACAATCTTAAATCACTTTGATAACACCCTGGTTTATAATTGTTGTGGATTCGAAAGTGTGCTTTGAGTCTGGAGATGTTTGGATTTATCATTTTAAAAGTGATGATGGCAGTGCTGAGAAATCTGTGTTCTTGCAAAATTGGGTCTTTGTCTGCTCCAGGTGAAGCTTGGGTGGGGGTAGGAGTGAGGTAGAGCCAACCTACTTGACTGTGCCCTTGGCAGGGCAGAAGCCCCATGGACAGAAAACTGCTCAAAGCAGCAGTGCTTGGCCGTCCTGCAGGTACCATGGAGTTGCCCACCTTGTGAAGGATGGATATCTTCTAAAGAGCTACTCTGTCCTTTCAGAGTGAAGATCTTCCTGACACAGCTGAGAATCATGTGAATATTCAGTAGGGATAGTACTGATTTCAGGTGGATCTCTCTCTCTCTCTCTCTCTCTCTCTCTCTCTCTCTCACTCACTTTCATACACACTTCATTATATGAAATGATGCCATGAGAGATTTATAAAGTAATGCACTAAGTTTCAATATTTGTAAAGTAATTTCTAAAGCATGATGTCAGTATGATTGGAGTAAATGTGTGGCACCCTAACAAGGCAGATACAGGAATTGTGCAGTGGAAGTTCTGACGTGTCAACCTCATTTTATGCTCATACTTTATACTATCATTTACGTGCAAAATTTAATGTTAACTTTTAAGCTTACTTTGTCACAAAAGTGAGGTTAGTAATTTTTGATTTGTACAACTGGCTTTCTCTTCTAGCCTTGAGTATGCTTAGAAGATGAGATTTAATAATTACCCTTAATAAACTGTTCTGAGTCTTTCTACATTTTGAAAATGTGAATTAAACCAAATTTTTAATACTGAAGTTTAAATTCATGACTATTTTGTGCTTAATAGAGATAAACTAGATACCTTTTCATCGTTTTCTGAAGTATTTTAAGACAAATGATCTCAGCCGGGTGTGGTGACTCACGCCTGTAATCCCAGCACCTTGGGAGGCAGAGACGAAAGAATTGCCTGAGTTTGCAGGTTTGACACCAGCCTGGGTGACATGGTGATACCTGGACTCTACAATAAATCAAAAAATTAGCTGGGCATGGTGGCACATGCCTGTAGTTCTAGCTACTTGGAGGGCTAAAGTGGAAGTATCTCCTGAGCCCAGCAGGTCAAGGCTGCAGTGGCCATGAGCAGCATGCTGCTGCACTCTAACCTGGGTGACAGAGTAAGACTCCAAAAAAAAGAAAAAAAAAGGAAAATGATCTCACTGGAAACTTTATACTCTCTACCTCAAAATAATGGTCTGGATTGCCCCGAAGGGGAAGAGTTGTACCTCCTGGAACCCAGACACTATTGGAAAGGTTCAATTTAGAATTAGAATATTTATTGCATAGATGGCGATAGCTATGTGAACATACAGTCAAGCTTTTGTTATCATTAGAATACCACATTAAGCATTGGTTCCTATTTAAATATTGAGTTGAGCTGTAAGTCTTAATCTTGTATTAGTTAATGCTACTGAAGAAGTCATCATTTAAGAGAGGAAATAAACATGATTAAAGAAGAGAGGGAACCATATCCTGGATGAATTGATATGTAAGGATCTTTATTATTGAATCACTGAGTGGTATATTAAGAATTTCCCATAACCTATAGCTATATCTTTTCTCAACATATGAAACACTGCTTCAGAATGTCAGTAGTTTTATTGTGCCAATAAGAGTGTCTAAACAGAAAGATAATTCCACTGGGGTTCTGGGAGACATTGTACATTTTTGTAAGACTCAGCATTTTTATGTCAAATTTAAATCTTATAGCTGACCTATTTTAAAAAGAACCCCACAGATTAGCATTAGGTATGCTGTTAGTGTCTGCTAAATACCGAAACAATCAATATTGACTCTAAATATGTAGAATTAGTTTAAACTTTATTAAGAAAGCAAAAAAGTGTACACAATATCTATCTTTTGTTTCACGCAGTTGCTGTGATTGGCTGATAAATATTTGTCAGAGAAAGAAAGAAATGAAAGCTCGCACAGTATGGCTTGGATGTCCTGAAAAGTGTGAAGAAAAACATCCCAGGAATTCTATAAAAAATCAAAAATACAATGTATTTACCTTTATACCTGGGGTAAGACCATTGCATTCTTGGAGACGGGTTGTATGTCAGAGATTGCTGGCTTCCTTTTCTTGATGATGGAGCCTGTGGAGACTCTGACTTAATTATTAAATGGTGTCACATCCAAATCAGTGTCCTTTAGCTTTTAAACCTTCTCTCTTTCCAATAACTGTTAAGTAATTAATATGCATTTTTAAAGGCTACATCATATAGTTCAACTCAAGAACATTTATAATTTGGTTATTCCCTTCAGTTCTTGATAAACATTTATTTTATTGTAGATATATAATTTATAATTAATGAAATAAAGTTAATTTGAAATTATCAGAATGTACGTTATCAGTTTTGTTTGGGAATTTGTATGGAGATAAACGTGGAATGTAATACTTAAAACCAAGAGATTTCATAAAGAAAGTAAAACAATTTTGTAAAACACTTTTTACACAAAAATGACACAGCAACAAGAATAAATATTTATTTATAGATATCTTTGTACTTCACATTATAAATCTCAGGCCTTGTTATATTGTTATGTCATTAGTTTTCTTTAATTGGATAGTATGCTAAAGTTAAATACTGTAGTTTAAATATTTTATTACTCTTTTGTTAGTGGTACTACTGGCTTAAATTACAAAACTGAATTCATATGTGTTCAGGATAATTGAGTAATTTTTGCTTTTTGAATGTTTTCCTTATTTTAATAGACAGGTTTATTTACCTTCTAAAGGCAAAGGAACCTGGTTGTGATTATATTTCTATATAAAAATTTTTGGCATGTTTTAGGTGTTGGCTTTTATTTGCAAGAAAAGCTCTCGATTACATGGAGTGAGGGCTGCTTTATCTTGTGTATTTTAATTTAAATAACCATGCTGACTTTATATTGGGCATTGATTACCCTCCTCCACCTGTCCCCATCCATTCAATGATTGGCAAATGTGTGATATCTAATGTGCTTCTTTATTAAAAAACACAAAACTAATGGCTCCATAATTAAAAGACTGATCTTTTGTCAGGATAATAAAATGTAAACTGTCTTTCAGGGAGATAAATATTCTCATCTTTATTGAATGAAGGCACTATTTCCTGCTTGGGTTTAAATTATTAAATACTCACAGATTGGCTAGCAGTGTACATTTCCCTAAAGGTCACCAAGTTCATTCAGGAGACAGTCAAGTATTGATCACAGTGGTTTAAAGCCAGCAATGTGGCTTAACTGTGATCAGTGCAAGTTCACACAGCCAGCCTAGATTGACTGCATTCTGGAAATACCTGTGGATGTGACTGTACAGTGATTTCCATGTGATTTTTCTTCTTAGATTGTCTCTGAGATTAGTCTTTTCATCTAAAATATAGTATTTTAGAAACATTTGGTAATTACACAGTAGGAATTCTATGCCATTTTTACCACAAATGGCAATTTCTGAATTGCTAATAGATATAATTTATGCTAACTGAGATTTTAAAGAAATCACTAAGGAAAAAGAGCTTTCTTTCCTGCTGAGATTAATTTATGAAATAATTCAAAACATTTTTAGACAGTAATTGAACATGATTATGAATATAAACATGTTAACAACGTAGCTGATTTTTTAGTCACATGCATAACTGTATGATGATGCAGATAGCCTCATTATTTAAAAACGGATGCCAGACTCTTTAAGTCAACAATAAATACTTAATCCATTGCTCTGCTCTTATTGAAAACTCCATACCTTCTAAGTGACATAAAAACAGCATCCAGAGATTTTGATTTGTAAGTTGCAGGCTTGCAAGTTTGATTATAATTGTAGCATGCTGTTTAAATTATTCTCATCTATAAACGTAAGTCTTGTTCCAGTTTGATTTTCAAGTCTCATAACTTGAGATATTTGTAAATAGAGATCAATTAATGTATTAGATCTTGAATTTTCTTCCCTAAAGATAACTATTTGGGCCAGGCGCAGTGGCTCAAACCTGTAATTGTAGCACTTTGGGAGGCCAAGAAGAGAGAATTCCCTGAGCCCAGTGGTTCAAGACTAGCCTGGGCAACTTAGTGGGACCTTATCTCTACAATAAATCAAAAAATTAGTCAGGTGTGGTAGCGCACGCCTGTAGTTCCAGCTCCTTAGAAGGCTGAGGCGGAAGGATTGTCTGAACCAGCAGGTCGAGGCTGTGATGGCTGTGAATGTGCCACTGCAGTCCAGCCTGGATGATTGAGTGAGACTCCAACACACACCACACACACACACACGATAGCTATTTGGTTTAAAAAACAAAACAAAAAAATTCAGTATTGACATTCTTATAATTGTATTAAATGATGAAATTTTTTTTTTTGAGTTGGAGTCTCCCTCTGTTACCCAGACTGGAGTGCATTGGCTGCTCCCGGCCACTGCAGCCTCGACCTTCTGCGCTCTGGCGATCCTTCCGCCTCAGCCTTCCAAGTAGCTGGAACTACAAGCACGCACTACCATGCCCGGCTAGTATGATGAAATTTATATTTGAAAATATTATTAAAGGTCAGCTACCAAAAGACTATAAAGAAGAATTAGAGTTGGGCACGGTGGCTCACACCTGTAATCCCAGCACTTTGGGAGGCGAGGCGAGAGGATTGCTTGAGCCCATGGGTTCGAGACCAGTCTGGGCAACTTGGCGAGACTTGTCTCTACAATAAAAAAAAAAAAAAATTACCCGGGCTCGGTGGCTCAGCCTGTAATCCCGGGCCTTTGGGAGGCTGAGGTGAGTGGATTGCCTGAGCCCGCGGGTTCGAGACCCGCCTGGACAGGCGAGACCTCATCTCTACAATAAATCAAAAAAATTAGCCGGGCGTGGTTGTGCGCACCTGTAATTCTGGCTACTCGAAAGGCTGAGATGGAAGGATCGCCGGAGCCCAGCAGGTCGAGGCTGCGGTGGCCAGGAGCGGCCACTGCACTCCAGTCTGGGCGACAGAGTGAGACTCCAACTCAAAAAAAAAAAAAAATTAGCCAGGTGTGGTGGCGAGTACCGGTGGTTCCAACAACTTGGAAAGCTGAGGTGGAAAGATCACCTGAGCCCAGCAAGTTGAGGCTGCAGTGTTTGTGAGCATGCTGCAGCACTCCCGCCTGGGCGACAGAGTGACAACCTACTCAAAAAATAAATAAATAGTTAGCTGTCTTCCTGAAAATTGGTCTGAAATTACGTATTTTCTTAATTTTATCTTTTAAAAAAAATGTTCTGAGGGACCTAAATACTCACAGGAGATTAAGACAGTCTCTCATGAAGTCACACCTGTGCACATCTGGCTTCTTTCTCAGTGTTTATAAAGCTACCTTGATGTCCTTGTTAAAAATAAGTGGCTAGTATATTTTATTTATTTATTCTTTTGTTTCATAAATGTAAGGTTAATATGACTTTTCTACTGTAAGATTTTTCTGAGTTACTATCAAGTTATACATTTGTCTATTTACTGACTTGCTGACATTGGGGAAGTTTTGCTATCTCAGTTGCTTTGATGTGCATAGAAGACTTATAGATGCGTGTGGAAAACTGGAAAATTTCCTACAAGAAAACTTAAAACCTTTCAGGAGGACACTTTTTACATAATTGAAAATTCTAATTGTCTTGTTTTTCAGTTTATTTTAAGTAAAACTTGGGGACCACTTTACCTTTTTTTACATGCAGTATAGCTAATAGAAAGCTAATGTCAGAATCAATAAATTTAATGTGAATCAGCATATTCTCACTTCTTGATGTGAATGTAGTTACATGTTGTGCTGATTTTAATTATTTGAGGTATTAAAAATTGTTCTTGAAGGGATTGTGTTAATTTTCTCTTTTCCTTTTTAGGTTTTATATGAACAATTCAAGTTTTTCTTGAATCTCTATTTTCTGATAGTATCCTGCTCACAGTTTGTACCAGCATTGAAAATAGGCTATCTCTACACCTACTGGGCTCCTCTGGTAAAAGAAAAGACTTTCTAACATTAAGTTAAATTATTAATTATTTAGAATATAGTTTTAAGAGTTGAGATGGTTAAAAGATAAATTGACCACACTTTAAAAACATGGTATTATTGCTGTGTATCACTGAACTTTGTTGAAAGATTTTGCTGAGTTCCATGACTTCAGTCCTTCTGAATTCCGTGGGAGGTGTGATGGCAATACCGCTTGTAGCACTGCTGGGACCTGTTTGTTTTCTTAGCTGGAAAAGTTACCAAATGCTCTGGCTGATACAAGGGTGTCAGCTGGGCTTTCTGCACCTGTTATAAGGGTGACAGCCATCTCCCAGCTCAGCTCCCCAGTGTGGGATGGGGCTTTTGGGAGTGAGGCTGGCCAGAGTTGTGGGTTCACTTCACTGCTTATTTTCCTTGCACCAGACTGGGGGTGAATGGTCTTAAGGATCTGAGTGGAGTACACAGCATTTCTGGTTGACAACTCAGTATATAAAGTTTTTTTAGAGACCAAGGAATATTTCCATTTCAAACATATACTCTGTTTTAAGCCATTGGTTAATCATTTTCATTAATTTTCAGCTTGTATAGATAAGATGTATGACTTCTTTCCTCCTCTTATCTAGAAAAATGTACTACTTCCTTTTTGGATTTGCTCCCAGATGACCAGAGGAATCTGGTCAGGAAACATAGTGAGTAAGAGGACTCCTTCCAGGGAGTAGATGCAGTCTCAGGCCTCCACCCGAGCATGGCCTTCAGCATGCAGAGCTCAGCATTGGCTCCTGAGGGTGCCTCTTTGGCTTGTGCAGACCCTGTCCCCTAACTAGAGACTTTCAGATGAAGCAGGAGGAAAGGAAGAGTTAGAAGCCTGTTTTCAGGATAAGCCTAGTCAGCCTCTCCTGTTCATCCTGTTTCACTGTGGTATTCATCCACTGTCAGTGTAGATGGACACCTGTGTTGTAATAGTACTCATCCCTATCAGTGTAGGTGCACAACTGTATCACTGTGGTACTCATCCTTATAAGAGTAGACACACACCTTTATTGCTGTGGTACTCATCCCTGTTAGCGTAGATACACTGTTATTATCCACTGTTAGTGTAGATCCACACCAGTAGTGATATGGTACTCTTCCACTGTCTGTATTACTATGTACTCATTCCTATTAGTGTAGATGAATGCCTGTCTCACTATGGTACTCATCCCTGTTAGTGTAGATGCACACCTGTTTTGCTGTGGTACTCATCCCTGTTAATGTAGACACACACCTGTACTGCTATGTACTCATTCACTGTTAGTGTAAATACATACCTATATTGCTGTGACACTGCACTCATTTGTCAGTGTTGACACACACCTGTATCGATGTGGTACTCATCCCTGTTAGTGTAGATGCACACCTGTATTGCTGTGGTAGTCATTCCACTGTTAGTGCAGATGCATGCCTATATTGCTGTGGCACCGCACTCATCTACTGCCATTATAGACACGTACCTTTATTGATGTGGTACTCATCCCTGTTAGTGTAGATGCACACCTGTATTGATGTGGTACTCATCCACTGTCAGTATAGACACATGTCTGTATTGCCATAGTATTCATCCTGGTTAGTGTAGACGCATGCTTGCATTGCTGTGGTACTCATCCACTATTAGCACGCCTGTATCGCCATGGTATTTATCCACTGTTAGTGTAGACATACCTCATTATGTCTGGGGCCTGTAGTAACATGTGATCTTTATATGCATATTTATGTTTTTGCCATCTTTTCTCAGCTTGCTCTCTAAGGTTCTGTAATGTTGTGCAAGGAAATGGTGTCTGTTAACATTTTCAGACTCCTAGTAGCCAAAACCTGCCATCGGAACCTCTCTTGTCCACTAATTTTAAAGAAAACAAATTAATTCAAACTTATTCCTCTACTCTCTAACTAAAATTGGGAATTATTTTGAAAACTGGATAGCTTAATTAATACTTTTTTCAATATTTTCAGCAATTTATTAGCTTCAGCTCTGAACTGATTTCTGTTATTTTCCCCATATAATAGAAAACTGAAAATAAGGTGATTTCATGACATGATCGTGTCAGAATGAAGATCAGTTTTCGGATTTCATTAGTTATTCACAGCAAAACTTGTGCAATCAGAGTAACAAAATATATTGTAATTCTTCTATTAAAATTAATAGGATGAAAGAGATCTCTCCATGCAAAAGATTTTTAGATAAAGAAAAATATGGCTTTAAGAACTTTTGACACTGTATTTTCCATATAAAACGTTATCCTGGTACTTTGTTAATATATAATTGGCAGGCAGATAGGCTGTATAGGTGAGAAATCAATCTATGAGGACTCTGATTTTTCAGACTGATTTTAAAATCTTTCCTTTTATTTGCCCTTTTTTTGTGAGTGTCTCTGCATTGGAGGTGTGAACCAAGTAAGAAAAGGAAAAAGAAAACCCTAAAATACTTGGGACTCTACTTTCCAGGAAAGCCAGTAGTAGTGAGCTGTGTGACCTTGATAACATTCCCTGTTCTCTTTGTGTCTCACTGTGCTTATCTGTAAAGTAGGGGTGAAGGTACACAGCTTGTAAGGCTTTTGTGACATATTAAAGAGATAACTCACTTAAGACACGTGGAAAAATGTATGGCATATGATAAGCCCTCAAAGGTAAACTGATAATTTACTAGTAGAATTTTTTGCCTTTTTACAAAAATTTATGTTGTTTTAGCACTTCATCCACCTGGCTCTTGGATTATCTGGAGAAATAGGAGAAAGGCTGTGCACAGATCACATGAGAAACCCATGCTGTCCAGGCTGACTAAAACACTCATGCACAAATACTGCTGTTGCCAGGGTGACAGTACCTTATGACCTTTCTTGTTTCTAGTTTGTCTTTTCTAGGGAACAGTGCTTTAGGTTACATCTCTGACCTGGTTGTTACTGTGGTAATGGGAAGCCTCGGCTGCCCCTGTGGTAATACTTGGTTGTCCAAATCTTCCATAAACCACCAATCTAATGATTCAGCTAGGAACTCAAAAGATCTAAACACTTATGGTAGGGGCTCGTTTGTTGTAGATTCTGGTCGTTAGGATAGAGATAGTGGCATCAACTTTCCTTTCCTTCCTTCTATTTTCTGTTCCTAGGCTGGCCATTGGGTGTTTTTCCCAGCTAGATATGCTGGAGATGGATGTGAGGGTGGTAACACTTCTTGGCTGTTACTGACTTGAAAGTGTGTTGTAAAGCAGCTTCATGTTCTAGCAGTCTTTGCCTGTAACCAGGGTTCTGTTTCCTCACACATTCACAACTGGCAGATTTTTTACTTTCTTAATACTGAGAGTGGGTGAAAATGAAAAAAATCTGAAGCTGGTTGCCACAAACTTCTGTTGTTAAGCACAAGTGAAATGGTCTTTCTAAATTGTCACCTTTTTCACAATACAGCGGAAAGTTGCAGACATATCCAGTATTTGACTCAGATACCACTCTGACTAGCATTCCATACTTTGTATTTCTATTTGGATTATAAACCTGCAAAGACAGTCTTCCATAATGAGGTAAATTCATGTCAACAGCAACCAGGAACAGAATTTGGAATGATGTAAATTCACATCAGTGGTAATCAAGAAGAGAACTTGGAATGACGTGAATTCACGTCAGTGGTCGCGAATGAGTTCAGAGTGTTTAACTCCTGTTTTCAGATGTTGGGACCTAGCCCCCTTTATTACATCTTCTTTACTATTACTCCATTAGGACCAGGGACTTATTTCCACAGACTCTTTGAGTTCTTAGGAACTAGCACATTTTTGTGGTTTATAATTAATCAATTCATAGTTAACTTTTTAAATCTTTAAGCCATAGGTTTAAAGTGGTAAAGATTAGAGTCACCTGAAGAGTTTAAATAACATTATGTCTGGGGTCTCTTTCCGTAGAGAGTAGAGGTAAATGTATACATTTCATGTAGGGCAGGGATCCCCAACCCCAGGCCGTGGACTGGTACTGGTTAATAGTTAGGAACTGGGGTAGGAACCGGGCCACATAGCAGGAGGGTGAGCAGCAGCAAGTGGAGCTCCATCTCTGTCCGATCAGGGGTGGCATTAGAGCACAAACCCAGTGGTAAACTGCACATGTAAGGGATCTGGGTTGCGTGCTCCTTATGAGAATCTAATACCTGAACCCTCCCTCTCCTCATGAAAAAATTGTCTTCCACAAAGCCAGTCCTTGATGCCAAAACGGTTGGGAACAACTGATGTAGGGCCTGAGCAAATCTGTGTTGCAGAAAGTCTTCCCAGGTGGTTACAATGTGCTTACCTGACTAAAAAGCATTCCTTTAAAATACTGTCTACCATATATAAATAAAATGTGCTTGGTAATTGCTCTCATTCTCTTGTCTCTCGTGTGAGTCAGTTGCAAATAGAGCTTTAAGAAATTACCTCTACATCTTGAACATAAGTCTTAACAGTAAATATTCTCTTATGTGGGAATGGCTGCAGAGAATTGTATTTTCTGGATATGAAGATGCATATTTTTTGTGTTACTGAAACTGAACTATGACTTATAACAACGTGTATATTTACGGTGGTATTGTCTACCCACTCAAAAAAATTGCTAAAATAATATTGACTTATCTTAAAACCAGTGACATCTTTACATCAAGGAAATATAGTATTTCATAACATGACTATACTATGAATTTCTTACTTGAGGACATTCAGGTTATTTCTAGTTTTTCATAATCATGTTGGGACCCTTGATGACTTATTTTAGAGTAAGTATCTAGGAGTGAAGCTGCTTGATTAAGTATGTGCAAATTGTAAGAATTAAAACTTTTTTTCTGGATATCTGCTTCTTTGACTTTTCAAATTTGTTTGCTTTGTTTTTCCTTTACTAATGCTAGTCCTAATAAAATGGTAAATTTATAATCAAACTTTTATTTGTCTCTAACTAATAGATTCTTTGATAATCACTTTTATTTGTATTTCATTCTTCATTCTATTATGGAGACATTTTATCACAATATAAAAATCTCGTTCTTAAAATTTTCAGCTTCACACAACTAACATTACTCTTAGTTATAAAAGACTGAATGCTTTCCTTTTAAGATCAGGAGCAAGGATTTCTATTCAACATTTATTGAAGGTTAAGTAAAGAGGACAGTTAGGCAAGAAAAAAATAAAAGGCATCTAGGTGGAAAGGAAGAAGAAAATCTGTCTTTCTCTAGTCACAAATGAAATGATCTTGTTTATAGGAAAACTTAAAGAATCTACAAACAGAAATACTGGAACTAAATATCAAGGTTGCAGGACACAAGATTTTTATTTCAGCTGGGCTCGATGGCTTAGCCTGTAATCCCACGCCTTTGGGAGGCTGAGGTGAGTGGATTGCCTGAGGAACTTGGCGAGACCTCATCTCTACAATAAATCAAAAAATTAGCTGGGCGTGGTAGCGCATGCCTGTGATTCTGGCTACTTGGAAGACTGAGGCGGAAGGATCGCCGGAGCCCAGCAGGTCGAGGCTGCGGTGGCTGGGAGCGGCCACTACACTCCAGTCTGGGTGACAGAGTGAGACTCCAACTCAAAAAAAAAAGAAAGATTTTTATTTCTAGACACTAGCAATGACCATCCAAAAATGAAATCAGGGTAACAATTCCACGTAAGATAGCATCAGAAAGAAAAAAATACTTAGGAATAAATTTAGCTGAAGTGTGAGACTGAAAACTACAAAACAATTTTGAAAAAAATTAAAGATCTCAGCAAATGGAGAGTCATTTTATGTTCATGAATTGAAAGGCTTACATTGTTAAGATGGCAGTAATTAACAAATTAATCTATAAATTCAGTCTAATTCCTACCAGAATCCCAGCTAGTTTATTTTTATTTTATTTTATTATTTGCAGAAATTGACAAACTGACCCTAAAATTGATATGAAAATGCAAGAGTCTCAGAGTAACCAATACATCATAGGAAAAAAAAAGATCAAAGTCGGAGGACTTACACTTCCCCATTTCTAAATTTATTACAAGACAGCATGGTACTGACATTTGGGTATATGAATCAATGGAATATAATTGAGAATCTAAAAATAAACCTTTAGATTTATGACAAAGTGATTTTTGACAAGGGCATCTGGACAGTTCAATGAAGCGAGAGCAGTTTTTTCAAGAAATGATGCTGGGAAAACTGGATATCTACATGAAAAAGAATGAATTTAGACCTTTACCTATGTACAAAAAGTAATTTAAAGTGGATCATAGACCTAAATATAAGAGCTAAAACTAAAATACCAAGAAGAAAATGTAGAGGTAAATCTTTGTGGCCTTGGCCCAAGAGACAAGAGAAAAAAAATACATAAATTGAATTTTATTATAATTAAAAGCTTGGGAATATCAGAGGACTCCATCAACAAAGTAAGAAGTTAACCTAGAATGGGAGAAAATATATGTAAGACCATATTTACAAATCACATATTTAACAGGGTGTTTGTATCCAGATTAAATAATGAACTCTTACACCTGAACAAGTAACATCTCAAAGCTAAATCAAAGTAGGTGAGGAATCTGAATAGATATTTATCCAAAGAAGATATACAAATGACTAATAAATACATGAAAAGTTGCTCAGCATCATTAGTTACTAGAGGACTGCAAATTAAAACCATGTTGTAGTATTTCACACCCATTAGGATGACTACTACCAAAGGGGCAGAGAGTAACAAGTGTTGTTGAGGATGTGGAGAAATGGGAACACTCATTCATTGCTGGTTGGAATGTGAAGTGTTAGCACCACTTTGGAGAACATTTTGGCAGATTCTTAAAATACTAACCATAGAGTTACCATATAATCCAGCATAGAGGCAAATCCATGGAGATAGAAAGTAGATAGTTGTTGCCAGAAGCTGAAAGAGGCGGGGAACGGGAGTTTCTTTTGAGGGTGATGAAAATATTCTAAAATCAGATGATGGTGATGATTATACAACTTTGAATGTACTAAACAATGAGTTGTGTACTTTTAAAGTGTTAATTTTATGATATGTAAATTACATACCCACAAAGCTGTTTTAAAAAAGAATACAGTGTGGCTTGAAGGACCTGGGTGAGCATCTTCTGCCCATCAGCAGTTGTCTTCGGTGGAGACCGTACAAATATGTGGATGTGCTGTGTACACCTGCCTTCTTTGCAAGTGGGGCACATCAACCATTGTTCATGGACTTTTTCAGTGAGTCCAAGAGTGGCTTTAGGATACTTCTCAACACAGTTCTTCTGGTAACCCCTGGAAACACATGGGCAAAGATCAGATGAGAGACATCCTGGTGTTGGGGAGATTACTATTAGTGCCCTGGAGCTGGAGGGCCCAGCAGTCTCCAGTGGGAGACAAGGTTAGAGGCCTGTTCATTCTTAGGTTGGGGGCTTGGAGCATTGCACTTCAGTGAAAGGAGCATACAAGATGGGGAGCTCTCTAAGGCTCCCCATCCCTGGAGGATTATTTTGAGCAGAGTAAAGCTGGGGAAGGGGTTGCTGACCCAGTGTGGTGGTGGAGGGAGAGCTGAAGTGAGCCTGGGTCCGACTCACAGGCTACACAAAGTGGTCAGGCTGTAGGGAGCATAGTCCACAGTTGGAGGAAGGAGTTGCAGCATCGTTTACAGGTGATTAGTGAGAGGCATATAGAATCGCACCATCTATTGGCTGAGGCCAGCATTTGGAGTAACTCCTTAAGGGATTGCACAGGCCATCAGAAAGGCAGTTGAGGGTGTGGTGTCCAGGAAACCAAGGGATGGAAAATTAGAAGGAGGGGCTGGTGAACAGTGGTGATGCACTCAGGGACTGGACATATTTTTAGATGATCCCCCTCATTTCAGAAGTTTGGGTCGAGGTGCAGTGAAAGGAAATTGTGGCAAGTGGAGGAGTAAACGAGAAGTGAAAACGTTTTGATGGTGCAAACTGGACCAAAGGAAGACACTTGGTGTATATAGGGAGAGGGAGAGAGGGTTGTAGGACCAGGGAGGCTGAATAAGGGGGATTGAGAGTGACAGAAGCACACACAGACTATGTGGCTGAAGAGAGATGGTGTAGGTGCCTTGCGAAAAGGGGTGGGAGATGGAGGCTGTCAGGTTGATGCCTGACATCTGAGTCATGCCAGTTGAAGGGCTTCTGAAGTAGCATACTTGAGAAAAAACCGTTTTGGTAAATATAAGAAACACTTTCTCCAGCAGCACACTTAATTTAGCCTGTTGATTATTCAGAAAAAAGCTGAAATAAAAATGATTGTTGTCCTTACAGTGGAGTCATCCAGTGTCCTATTACTTACAGTGTAGACTGAAGCTAGGGCATCACTAATAAGTCTGTTGTAGAGGTTTCTTTATTTAATCATGGGGAGATTGACTTGAAGAACATTCCTGTAATATCAGAAAATACAAATGCCACTTTTAAAAACAAAGGATGTTAACCCACATGTTAGTGGTATAACAAGCATTATAATAGATATATACTTTTAGGGATATATACTTTTTTATAGATAGCATCAAGTTTTTACTTAAAAAGAAAACACATAATCTATACTCTCTAATGCAGTCGTATAAAAATTGATCAGTATTGGTGTCATATCTAGGAATTGTTTTATGTTTCTGAGTGCTTTTATTCTATATGAAAAATTTAAGCGTGAGATTTTTATGTCAGTCATTGTAAATTTTACATTTGAATGCCTAAGTGTTCTAAATTTGATTCATGGGTTTATTGAAGAATGTCAATTTCATTTTCTTTTGATTATAAGTATTTTCTGATGTTTAGCTTGAAGTACATATTATGTGAATTTAAAACTTTTTTGAGGGGTCTACTAAGAGTTTTAAATCTTTTACAATGAATTATATTCCTTTTGTAATGTCTCAGTATTACTTTTTGTCTTGTTTTCTGTTTTCATTTATTTTATGTTTTAGAGAGCAATGTAAATTAAGGGGAAGAAGTAAAACTAAGTAATAAAGAATTTCCCTTTTTTTGTTAAAGTTTAGATTTCTAAAATATTTTATCTTGTTTTATAGGGATTTGTCTTGGCTGTCACTATCACACGAGAAGCAATTGATGAATTTCGACGTTACCAGCGAGACAAGGAGGTGAATTCCCAACTATATAGCAAGCTTACAGTAAGAGGTTAGTGCTTTTAATTCTATTTAGTATTTGCATAATGTAATGATAATTTTATAGTTAGCATAACAAATGAAAGAAAACATGCTTTAATTCTGTTATTGCAAAAAGTATCACGTGATCATGTATGATATCTAATTAATTTCCTTAAAATATATGATGCATGCAGTTTCAAGGTTAGATTTTTGTTCATTTTCTAGATGCTTGGATATATGTGTGTATATAATATTTATATGTGTGAATTTTATATTTACATATTTATATACATACATACACATAAGCGTATGCAAATATATTAATCATTAGGTTAATTAGACACATGTGAAACTCACCTGGTGTACACACATATTTTCTGTGAAGCCTGATAACCCTTTATCTAAAATCTGTCTTTGCATTATATTTAAACACACTCAAAAAGTTCAAATGTCTATACCTTGGCATTAAACTGTACTTAAGTAAAAAGGCCTTTGAACAACAGAAATAAATGTAGTGATCCAGTATGGAAACTGATGCATGTATGTTTCTCCTTGACCTTTATTCAGGGCTTTATCTTTGCTTAACTTATAAAGAACTTGCTTGTCTGATTCTTTATAATAGAAAAAGAAGCAGCATATTAGGAAGAGAATGGGGGAACCTTTTACTAATAGACATATGACAATAAAAAAGTGACCATGAAACCTTGGCATTGAGGGAGACACTGCAAAATAAATGGGTGTTCATAACGACCCAGTCTGTTTAAAATATGAAGGTTAGAGAGGATTTTGTATCTTCTGTGTTTAAGTGGACATGTACAATGAATTATTTACTTGAAAAAACCCCTTCAAAATTATTTATTTTTAACAGCTATGTTTCACTTAACATAAAATTAATCCATTTAAAGTATGTGATTCAGTGTTTTTTGGTGTGTTTATACAGTTGTGCAGCCATCGGCATCACCGTCATCAAATTTTAGAATATTTTTAACATTCTCAGAAGAAACCCTGATTATATTAGCAGTCGTTCCTCAATCTTGCCCTTTCCCTCTTCTGCTCCAGCCTCAGGCTACCCCTATTCTATATTCTGTTTCTGTGGTTTTGCCTACTTTGGACATTTTATATAAGTGGATTATGCAATATGTGGTCTTCTTTCACTTGGCATGTTTTCAGGGTTCATTCTGTAATAGAGTTTATTATTACTTTATTTCTTTTGCTATTAAAAAATGCTCCCATGTATAATACTTCACATTTTGTTTATCTGTTCATCAGTGGATTGACATTTGAGTTGTCTACTTTGTAACTGTTGTGAGTCATGCTGCTCTGAACATTAATGTCCAAACTTTTGTGTGAATATTGTTTTCATTTATCTTGGATATATACATAGAAGTGAAATTTCTAGATTATGTAACTCTATGGTTAGTATTTTAAAGAACTGCCAACCAACTTTCCTAATTGACTGTATCATTTTACATTCCCTCCAACAATGTGTGAGGTTTCCAATTTCTCTACATTCTTGCCAACGCTTTATTACTACCTTTTTGATTGTAGCCACTACTTTTTGACTACAGTGAGTGTGAAGCAGGATTTCATAATGGTTTTGGTTTATTTTTATTTTTATTTTTTTGAGTTGGAGTCTCACTATGTCGCTCAGACCGGAGTGCAGTGGCCGTTCCTGGCCACCGCAACCTCGACCTGCTGGACTCCGGCGATCCTTCCGCCTCAGTCTTCCAAGTAGCTGGAACTACAGGCGTGCGCTACCACGCCTGTCTAACTTTTTGATTTATTGTAGAAATGAGGTCTCACCAAGTTGCCCAGGAGGGTCTCTAGCCCGCGGGCTCAGGCAATCCACTGACCTTGGCCTCCCAAAACATGGGGTTACAGGCTGAGCCACCAAGCCTGGTGGTTTATATTTTTTAATGACTAATGATCTTGAACATATTTTTATGTACTTACTAGCCATTTGTATATCTTCCCTGGGTAAATGTCTACTTAGATCCTTCACCAACTTTTTAACTGTTTTTTTTTTTTTTTGCCTTTTAGTTGTTGAGTTGTAAGAGTTCTGTTGATAGTCTGGATTCAAGTCCTTTGTCAGTTATATTATTGCGGATATTTTCTTCCATTCTGTGGGTTGTATTTTCACTTTCTGGATGGCATCCTCTGACGCATAAACATTTTCAATTGATGAGTCCGATTCATCTATTTTTTTATTTTGTTGCTTGTTCTTTTGGTATTGTATCAGAGAAACAGTTTGTCAACCCAACTTTTAAAGGTTTACTTCTGTTTTTCTTTAGAAGTTTTAGGGCTTTACCTCTTACATTAAGGTCTGATTCATTTTCACTTATTATTTTGTGTATGGGGTGAGATATGGGTCCATGTTCTTTTGCATAAATACCAACTTATCTTGGTACCATTTGTTGAAAACTCTGTTCTTTCTCCATTGAGTTGAATAATCAATTATTAAAAAACTTTGTTACTGGAAATATGGCATGGTGGAGGGAAGGTAAGAAGTTGAGCTTTAGTTTTGGGGAAAAAACAGCCCTCAAATGGCCGGATAAATGATATGTAACTTTGCATTGTCTTTTTAAGGACATAATATAGATCCTAACTTACTCTAAAATTTGTTATAATTGTGGTATTTGGGCTGAACAGTGATTTGTTTCTGGTTTATTAATTGTATATTAAAAAATAACTAGAGGGATGATGGCAGTGAAATGGCAAAGTAGACAGCTCCATGTGCCTGCTCTTCTACAAAAACCTTGAAAATCAAGCAGAAACTGGAGCAAAGCAAAAGAGTACAGCTGAGCCAGACAATCAAGTGTCAAATGCTAGGCAGAAAAAGCTGAGTGGAGCGTTTCTTTAGGACATTTGAACGTTCAAAAGCGCCTTTGTGTACTGGGGCATTTTGAAAACCACATGTAAGCCGAAGACTTGAGGAATGCTCACAAAAGACTGGAGATCTTTCACCTCTGGCCGACTCTAGGCTCAAGTGCAAGTAAGAAGTGCATTGCTGGAGTTCTCTGAATCTCTTGTGCTTGAATGGTTACATCTCTGGCAAGATGAGGAAAGTTTTCATGGATGACCTCATGGAATGTTTGTTCCAAGGTGTTCTCCATTTCTCTTTCTGCTACAGTAGAACCAGTCAGGCATAGATTTAGCTTCTTGATACAATCACACATCTCTTGGAGGGTTTGCTCCTTCTGAATTTTTTTTTTAACAGATTGGATTAATTCCATACTTTAGTCTTCAGACTCTGAGATCCTTTCCTCTGCTTGGTTAATTCTGCTTCCTGTGGTTGTCATTTGTTATTTATTTTATGAATGAACTTCTTTATTTCTGTTATTTCAGAAAATGTTTTTTTTGAGATAGGCCAGTTCTGTTGCAATTTCATCAAGTTTTGCTTCCTGTTTCTCTTGATTCCTGTTCATTTTTTCCATCCAATCTCTGATCCCTATAAGTATCTTCTGAGGCCATTTGTTCTGGGAGGTTTCCATTGTTTGTGCTTCAATGGCTGTTTTTTTAGGCACTTCTCTTTAGGGCTTCCGATCACCAAAATAAAGTCATAACTGCAGGGTTTCGATAATTTTTTCTTTCTTTTTTTTTTTTTTTGAGTTGGAGTCTCACTCTGTCGCCCAGACTGGAGTGCAGTGGCCACTCCCGGCCACTGCAGCCTTGACCTGCTGGGCTCTGGCGATCCTTCCACTCAGCCTTCCAAGTAGCTGGAACTACAGGCACGTGCTACCATGCCCGGTTAATTTTTTTTTTATTTATTGTATCGATAATCTTCTTTTTCTGTCCCTGTCCTAAGCATTATGGAAACAGGTGATACCTGCTAGACAAGCACAGGATGATACCTTCAGGGGACCTGGCCCTGAGGCAGGAGAAGGAGGAAGAAGACCTGGGCTGCCATCGCTGCACCACACAGAAAGCAAGTTGCTCTTTCACCCCCCCCCCTTATTTTATTTTCTTTTTTTGAGTTGGGGGGGGTCTCACAACTCTGTTGCTCAGGCTGGAGTGCCATGACATGATCATGGCTCACTACAGCCTCAACCTCCTGGGCTCAGATGATCCTTTTGTCTCAGTCTCCTGAGTAGCTGGGATTTTATAGGCATGTGCCACCAGGCCCAGCTAATGTTTTGAAATTTTTTTTTTTTTGCGATGGAGTCTTGTTGTGTTGCCTAGAATGGTCTTAAACTTTTAGGCTCAAGTGATCCTCTTGCCTTGGACTCCCAAAGTGTTGGAATTAACCCATGTGAGCCACTGTGCCCTGCCTAAAATGACTATTTTTATGTTATGCTAGTTTCACCTAAAAATGGTATAAAATGTTGCAGAAGACAGTCTATATTATATCTTGTATACTTCTGTAATATTTGAACTCAGAGTACTTAAAAATAACTTTTTATAGGTTTATTTCAAATACAAATGGAAATTTGCCTTTTTAAAAAAAACAACCATCATTGCTGGTATTCTAAGAAGTGGAAATTTCACATATAAATGATGATAATGATAGCTAATTTTGATTTTCGTTTATGTGTCAGATTCATAATACTCATCCTCATATCCATTGTCATCTAAAGTGGAGTTGGTGTGATCTCCCAGTTACAGATGAGAAATAGGAGCTTATGCTAAGTTGCCCTGAGTCTCAGTAGAGTTAGTTCAAGCTGGTACTTGAACCTAGATCATGCTGCCTCCAGCCCAGCTTTCTCTCAGCTGTGGCACACGGCTTCATGACTGGGCATTCTGGCATAGATGTTTGATGAGTAAAATCTGTAGTATAAAAAATATTGGTTTAGACTTATTACAAGTACAGTGTAACATTTATTTTTTTCATCAAGACTATTTCCTGTTTGTCCCCACTTAATTTCTAATATTTCACAATACCTATTCTTTGAATGGCAATGATGGCAACTTTCTTATGTACTTTACTGTGTTTGTTAAAACATATTTACAACATTTGGACTTTTTATATTGGAATTCTCAAGCACTTTCTTATAGAGGTAAACTGTTAATTTTTTTCTTTTGAAAAGGAAAGCCACTTC